CAGCAGGGTTTGGGAGCACAGCCCCAGGCCTCTGCTTTGCTGCATTTATTTTAGTAACTGTGTGTTTGCATTTTAAAGGCCTTTACAAGAAAAGTCCTTTCCTTAAAGTGGTGGAGGCAGAGTGGGAGCTAGCACAGCCTCTGCCAGCAGGCAGCAGAGAGGGGGCTCACACTGAGGAGGGTTTCGGTGGGTACTTGTCGCTGCAGGAGGGATGGGAGGACACCCCTGCCTGACATCCTCTGCAAACAGAGGCAAGCTAATGAAGCAGCCTCATTTTTAAAAGGTGCTGTAGGACCATAACAAATAGCTAGCAAATTTAAGACAATTATTGCAATCAGTTGCTTGGGGCCAAACAAGCTCCTTAATATTCCTGCCTGTGAATTTCCCTTTGTGTGCGGGTGGCAGCTGTCTCTCCGCTTCAGTGCTGCCTGCTTGTTGAGTTAGTATTAGAGTTACAAAGGGTTCTTCTTTGTTCAGGCACCATCCCTGTCCTTTGCAGGATCCCTGGGAACGATTCTGGCATCACCCTGTAAAGGAGACTTGTCAAGAGCCTTGTGAACATGCCAGCCTAAAAAAACTGCAGGGCCCAGCAGAGCAATAGGCACAGGGTCGAGGGCTGCCCCAGAGTAACTGTTCACCCTTTTTCTCCGCAGGGGTCCCAGGCAGTGATTACATCAATGCCAATTACATCGATGGGTATCGGAAGCAGAACGCCTACATCGCCACGCAAGGACCTCTACCAGAAACCCTCAGCGACTTCTGGAGGATGGTGTGGGAACAGAGAACAGCAACTATAGTCATGATGACCAGGCTGGAGGAGAAGTCCAGGGTACAGTGTGTGCTTCCTCTGTTTTCTGGAGCTGGTGGTGGGGGCAGGAGAGAGGGGTGGAGACACTTCACAGCCTAATGGCACCCAGGGAGAGGCGATTTCAGTGGTGTTGGCTCACTGCTGCAGGCACCCCAGCAAGAAGTGCCTTGTAAGCATATCCCTGTGGGGCAAGAGGGTGGCAAAACCTCCTGTCACTGCTGCTCATTAACTCCTGTCTTGCCTGCATGTCTGCATGCCCATCCTTTCCCTGCCCACATCTCTCGTGCCAGAAGGAGAAGAGAAAGCTCTGAGATGGGGAGTGTTGACAGTCCCTGAAGGCCTGGGGGCTGCATCCCAGGAGTTGTGAAGCTGTAATGGGTAGGTGGTATCAGCAGCATCCTGCAGCCTGACAGGGCCCTGGCATCTCTGACGATGCAAGGGAAGGGCTGACGGGGTCTCGTTGCAGTAACAAGACTAATTTGTGCCTTGTCCAATGACAACATGTATAAATGATCAGCTCATACTGCCAAGATTAGGTATTCTGATGTAACAAGTGCAAAACTGCCTGCAAACCGTGGGGAGGGTATGACGTGGAGAGGAAGGAGCAGAAGCCCTCACTGTGGATGATGCTTATGGTGTCTCGTGACAGAGGTTCTTGCTCAGCCCCTGAAGCAGGAGTTCATAAGCTGTGACCGAAGTGCTCCTGTGCCCAGATGCACCCTTCGGGCAAAGCGTGCCCTAGCAGGAGGCAGCTTCTGCCTCTGTTGATTCGGTTTGTTCCTAAAAGTAAAATTTTAGCGGTGAGCATTTGTACTTGCAGAATATTTTAGTGTTGCCATGCCAACGGCAGGAGAAGGGGCTATGCACTCAAGCTGTGAAACACTGGTTATTTTTAGCCCAATAAGCTCATTCTTGAGAAGCAGGAACTGTCAAGTTTGGGTTTAGTTAAAACTTTCGCCTGCATGCTCTCTCTCTGTTTCAAAGCTTTAGCACTGGAATGCTCGCAGGGGTGTCCTAGCCCACGCTGGCTGGGAGGAAGCAGCTGGACAACCAGTCACCCTGGCAAAACAGATCTGCTTTTCCTGCATGTATAGAAATAGGCTCTGTTCATGGGCTTCCCTGGCTCTGCAAATGCCCTACAGCCTGCAGGGAAAAATAGTGTACCTTGGAGACAAGCTGCCTCTAGAGATCCAACCCCAGCTTTGCACTGTGCTTTCCACTGCGCAGCTCTGCCTGCTCTGTCTGATGGCCGCCAGTGGCCACAGTCACCCACCCAGCCCAGACAGGGAGGTAAATTAACCTGACCCATCCTGTGGCTCAAGGCTTGGCACGTGGGCTAAACAAGATCAGAAGCTGCTGATCAACTGCTCTCTACAGCTGGGGGTTATGTGGGGACTTCGTTGTGCCGTCACATTTCAATGATGGAGCGTGCATTTGAAGTACAGGGAAAAGCCCTTTTAGGTTGCCAAGTAAATCGATGCCCAGAGTCCTGACTCACTTCACTTCTGGGCTGCTCAGTTATGGGAAGGCACTCCAAGGCGCATGTTTCTCAAAGGTAACGGGTTTCCTTTGACCCCACAGGCACTTGTCTTTGCCTGAGATGCCTGTGCTGCTAAGCCATGTGTTATCTGCCCCAGCATGCTCCCTGTCATGTCATCCCACAATTACCTCCTGCAATATTGGTTTCTGTCCCAAACACAGTGTCTGTGGTCAGGCTTTTGGTGACAGGACAGGCACTGTGAATCCCTGTCGTGGGCAGGGGGTGACCAGAGCCCTCACAGAAGAGGCAGGCAGCCTGCCTGACCAGGAGTGCTGCCCAGGGGCTCTAGGCTGACCTGAATGGACTCAGACCGCGGCATTTGCTCCCCAGCACCACCTGCCCATGTCCTGGACTTACAGGAGATCATTTTCTCTGTTTTTTCTGTTGGCTTCTCCAGCATCTTCCAAGGCAGATTGGCTTTCAGCCACCTTCCTGCTCTGCTTTTCCTCATACCCCTTTGGTGATGGGTAGAGCTCACTCAAGACCATACCTTTTTTGGGACCAAGGATCCTGGTGACTGCCCGTTGCTGACAGCTTTCAGCATGAGTCACTGTTTTACAGTTTACTCCACTCCAGAGACTTCAAATCTCATCTGATGCAACCCCTTGGGACCCTGCAGCATTGCTGCCTGCTGTGTTCACGCTGCTGTGGGACAGCACTGCTCCAGGCAGCCACATGGTGTCACAGTGTTACCCACGGGTGACCTTGCTTGAAAGTCCCCTTGCCCAGGGGCTTCGGCACAGGCACGGGACTCTCTTCAGCTGCGGAGCCTGGGGTGGGCAGCAGGGCCTCCTGGCGAGATGCCCAGCGCAGAGCAGGCTCTGCCACCTTCCCAAGCGAGCTTCCCAAGTCCCCCTCAGCAGCGCTGTGTGTAGATAAGCTGACCAGGACCAGCAGCAGCTTTGCAGCCCTGTAGGGGTGACACTGCTTTAAAGGGCTCCTGAGCTGCAGGGGGAAAAAAAATCTTTAAAGAGCATCAGCTTTTATGGTCTGCAATTTCATCTGCTTTGATGGTCCGAATCATCCTCCCTTTTTCATGTTTTCACAAAGCGAGAGGCACATAAAGGATAGAAATGGCTGGATTGTGCAATTTAGCTGCCTTCAAAGCTTTCCAATCAGTTTCAGAATCATTCGGTGGCAGTTCAGAAACACACATTGTAGATTAGCTTTTCCGAAGCTGCAAGCGTGGTGTGTCCCAGCCAGGGTGTGTTGCACGAGAGAGGTATTAAAGCAGGATTTCTCTTACTCTGGGCTATCCCCAAGAGCCCGGCAGGGCACAGTCTCCCAGAGCAGTGCCACGGCTCATTCTGTCCCAGCATGAAGCACCAAGCAGCCATCCCTGGACTCTGATCTCCCCTGGCACTTTGTATCCCCAGGCAGGGGTGCAAAGAGGCTGGTGCTGAAAGGCTCTGGGGAAGAGGGGCCTGGCAGCCCCGTTCTGCTCCAGCCCTTTTGCTGGCAGCAATGCCATCTGGAGCTCGTGAGCGGGGCCAGGAGCAGAGCACAGCTCTTGAGCTGAGGAGAGGTGCCCGGCTGCTCTTGGGCACAGGGCATCAAAGGGGAGGGACAGGAACCACTCAGCAAAGCTGCAATAAATGGCTGTTCAGGACATTACTGTGCTCCTCAAGTTAATGAGAAGCAAGCACTGCCAGAAGAAAACATCTCTTATCTGCTTTAGTGCCACAGTGCATCGGCTTCAGCGTAAAATTTACAGAGCTTGAAAATGGGGCATAAACATTATGGGTAAATTTGGCAGAAAATGTGACTGACTCTTATCTCGTCATGAATAAATAATTTTCAATTACCAGCCCAGGCACTGCTATTATCCCACACAGGGAACTCCTCTGAAGTTTGTTTTGTGCTCGAGCACACACGGCCCTGTAGCACGTGGGTGGCAGGAGGGGACTGCTCTCCCCAGGGTGCGGGCACAGGCACAGGGACATGCTGTGCTGCTCCCCTGCACATCCCCTGCAAACCACACCAGGGGTGACCCACTGAGCGGCTGTCCCCGGCACTGGCTGGATGGCATTCTGCCTTCCCCTCACCTCCTTTAGAGAGGGGTCACGTCATCCCCGAGCCAGGTGAGGCAAACTCGGGTGGCCGGAGATGTGGCTGCAGCTGCTGCCTGCTTGTGAGGATGGGATCAGTTTAGCTGTGAAATAAGGTTTGTGACCTCTAAGTTGTTCTCTCTGGAGCTAGTCAGTGTAAAATAACAGGCTGCTGTGTGCTAAGCGAGGAAGAGAAGTCTTCTGAGATTTGTGCAGTACTTGCCATGCTGCGAGCGCAGATCGAAGGCAGCGAGACAGGAGACCCTGGGCAGGAGGCAGTGGAGCTGCTCTGGGTGTGCAGGCACCCGCAGCACCCATAAGGCAGCCTTGCTCCAGGCACTTCTGCCAGGGCAGGACTTACTGAAAGAACCCAAAAAAAAGCAGGGAGACGTGCATGCCTCAGACCCCAGGTTGCCACACTCCAGCAGCCAGAGTGCAGGATGAGGGCTCTTAGCTCTCACAAGTCCTACCCTGCTTAAAGTGCCTTCAATTAAAAGGCAGAACTTCATTGATTTCTAATTAAGCCTCTTGTTTCCCTTCCCACACATTCCCCTGTAAACACACTCGGCTAATAATTAAGTTTACTATTCCTTGACAAGCACAGATGATCTTCCATTCACTCCTCTCTCCTAAGGCAGGAATCCATTTTCGGTGCAGTGCACATGGGTGGGAATGAAGTCTTCCTCCTGTCAGCCAGGCACCGTGGTTCCGCAGGGTGGGGGAGATGAAATAGGGATGCTCAGGGTGCCAAATTAAATAGGGGCCTTGGGGCTGGAGAGAACAAAACCAGAGTAGTTTGCAAACACTGAGCTGTGAAGAGGAGGAGGAGGGCATCAGCAGGTGAGCAGGGAGGCATGCACAGGGAGATGAAGGGGGCAAAGGGATGGGGCCCTGGGGACATGTTGGGGATCTCTGCCAAGTGGGCTGCAGCAGCAGCTGTGGCCAGTAGCTCAAAGTACTCTGGCTGTGGAGTTGGGAGGGAGAGGTGAAAGATGCTGCAGGGCAGGGGATCTCTAGGGAGCAGTGGTGTTTTCAAGGCAGGACAGTGCTGCATGCTGGAAGGGGCTGAAAGGATGGTTGGCCACAGTCTGTGTCTTCTCACAGAGGGACAAGTTGAGTCTGAGCTGGAATCTGTGCCTTGCTGCAGAGCAGTTTTTGAAACACCTAGGAGATGGAGATTCCTAGGGATGTGTCACCTGCCAGAAGGACAGGCTGGCCTCTCTCAGGGATGCTCAATGCACCCCAGCCTGTGGCAATGCCAAAAGGGTGGCAGGGTCACCCCGTGGACTGGATGGAGCCCTGGTGTGGGCTGTGCCCCATCGTTCACCGGGGTGGTTTGCTGTCTGGAGACCATGCTGGCAGGGGCACTACTAGCAATTGCTACACACTGTCTTTGTACCTGGTGCTGCTCTTGCTGCTGTGTCTAGTGGCCTGGCCCCCTTTGCCGCTTCCCACCACTGGCTCCAGGAGAAAAAAAAAAAAAATTCCCATCTTTGAATGTCAATGTCATGGAAAGGAGCCCAGGACGTGCTGCCTCTCTGCTGGGGAATGGGACACTCCAAGAAAGGAAATCTGGGTGTTTGGGACCTCACACACAGTGACTCTTTCCTGTTTTTACCCTTTGGAGGGCAGAGGCCCATTCCTCCCCCTGAACACCCCAGCCAGCAACCAAGCACTGACCCTTTCTCCTCTCCTCCCCACAGGTAAAGTGTGACCAGTACTGGCCAAGCCGAGGTACAGAAACTTACGGGATGATCCAGGTGACCCTGCTGGACACAGTTGAGCTGGCGACCTACACTGTCCGCACCTTTGCACTGTACAAGGTATGGCGCTGGCTGGGCTGTTCCTGCTCCAGGTAACGCAGCACCGCTTTCCGATGCTGTGGGGTGCTGCACAGCCCACAGGCAGAGTCCACCAGCTGTGCCTGGTTTGGCCAAGCGTGTGGTTAGTCCACACATGGGCCATTTCTCACAGCTGGGCTGCAGTGGGAGACTGGTTGCAGGTTGTGCCTTTGGCCACCAGTGGATTTTAGCCTGGACACCTGATGCTTTCCTCTGTGCATTCAGACCCTGTGATGGGCCCCAGAGCAGGGCGTGCTTGCCTTTGGCGAGTGTATATGTAACAGCTGTCCTCCCATTAGAGGGACAAGAGGGGAAGCAGTGAATTTTTAGCACTCCTGTCACTAATAATGCAAATGGAGGGGCTGTGCTGACGTGTGCGCGTGCTCTCTTCTCCTGCCTGCTGTGTACCTCATTAGTGTTTGGAAATCCCAGGGGGCAGTGCTAGCAGCAGTGTGTCACAGAAATGCAAACAGGCTTTGCAGTGAGCTGCCTCTGTGTGTGACTGAGTTGGCACCACACTGGCAGAGAGAACGCAGCAGTGTGCAATGGGGACACACTCATGCCCCAGGAAGACATCTCAGCCCCAGCAGTCATCCAGCCAGTCCTACTGCATTGCTACGTAGATCATTCAACCACACCGAGACAGGAGCAGGGCAGCCTCTGCAGACACAGGCTGAGCAGCCATCCCAGAGAGACCCATGATGCAGAGGGGCAGGGAGGGAACTGGCTGATGTGGCCCTTCCGTGCCCAGTGCCCATTTTTCCCTAACCATGCAGTGAGTACACGAGTAGTGACCCCATGCTGTCCAGAAAGGAGTCTTTCACCTTCTCATCAGTCAGTTCCGCTCCCACATAGCTGCTCTGCTCTCTGCATCAGCTGGCTTTCCACAGAGCATATATGTGTACAGAGGCCTTGCAAGAAGCCTACATTTTGCCTCCAAATTTTCAGTGGCAAAAGCCCAAAACATGCATGTTGAGGCACAGCATTACATGCCTGTTGTTTCCCAGCCAGCTGGGTACCTTTTTACCCCATCAGAGGGTTCCTGTCCTAGGCTGAGGCTGTTCTCATGCAAAAGAAATGTTCTTTGTCTTCAACAGAATGGCTCCAGTGAGAAGCGAGAGCTGCGACAGTTCCAGTTCATGGCTTGGCCGGATCATGGAGTACCAGAATACCCCACCCCGATCCTAGCTTTTCTACGACGGGTCAAGGCCTGTAACCCACCAGATGCTGGGCCTATGGTTGTCCATTGCAGGTATGACTGTGTGTTTGCGAAGCTGTACCTGGGCACTTGAATCCTGGCTGCAGGAGCTTTAACCTCTCCAGCCAAAAGTGGGATCTGTTCCTGAGGAGAAGGTTTCACAGTACCATGATCTGCCCTGCATGCTTGAGCTGGGAACAGGACAGCAACCAGCAGCGGTAATGCAGTGGTGACATTTGTATTGCTACTGCTTTATCAGATTAAACAGCACTGGTCTATGGAAAGCTGCAGAAAACACTTTTTCCTGGAAAACTGCAAGTATCATTTTAAAAATGAGGTGATCTATGCCCAGCATAGGTAGGTGGTACCTTTCAGAAGCACATCATTAACAGACATGCATGCGTTGACCTCTACAAACATTCATACGTAGTATTTACAGTAGAACTCTTTTGCAGGGTAGAAAGGTAGCTCTTTAAGCAAAATATTAGTCTACTAAGGCTCAGCATCTTATCCAGGCAAGATTTATCTCTACCAGCCAAGTGGGGACTATTACAGAACAAACCACTTCATCATTGCTGTTCCAGCATACGCCTTACCAGCAGTGTTTAATGCTCTTTCATGCTCTGTTTCAGATGGGAGTGGGGTATAATTAACACACAAACAAGCTGTATTGAAGCCCCGTTAAGGATCTGACTTGCACCATAAATGAGGAAATGTCTAGCTCCATATCTCTGCCTGTGTTTACATGTCACAACAGCGTGTCTGTTTTCGGGGTGCTCTCAGGGTGAGCAATTTGGGGATTGCTACTGGCCTTCCACCAGATGTGGAGAGGCATCCGGTGCTTGAGCAGAAGGCTTAGCATAGAAATCCATCACCTTACCTTTCTGCTTTCCCCTCTAGGGCTGACTGTTCTCATTTTATGGGTTAGGAAACAGTGACCCAGCTTAGAGGACAAGCAGGCTTGAAATTATGGGCTTCACTGGTGCCAGAGCCCAGCCTGGACTTCAGGTCTTCTGACTTCATGCATATGTACGCTGTCACTCTCCTGCCTGTTAAACACATTTCTCCTTCCCTTGTGGAGGTGCTGCCAGCCACCGCAGGGACCCACAGAGTGACACCGTGTCCTTTCCACACCATCAGTGAAAGGGGGACAGCAGAAGGGCTAAGCAGCCTCCCACATTCTCCAGTGCCTCTCTCCCTTACTCCGGTCACCTCTTGTTTGGGGCTCAGCTCATTAGCCCTCAGTGTGGGGAGCAGCCTTTACTCCCCTGTTGTGTGCTTTAGGTCCAGGTGCTCTCTTATGCAAGAGCAGAGCTTGCGTGGTGTCTGTAGGAGACAGCATCATCTCAGGATAACTGCTTTGTTCCCGCAGTGCCGGCGTGGGCCGAACTGGTTGCTTCATTGTCATTGATGCCATGCTGGAGCGGATGAAGCATGAGAAGACCGTGGACATCTACGGCCACGTGACATGCATGCGCTCTCAGCGCAACTACATGGTGCAGACGGAGGACCAGTACATCTTCATCCACGAGGCCTTGCTGGAGGCAGCCACGTGCGGCAATACCGAGGTGCCTGCACGCAACCTCTTTGCTCACATCCAGAAGCTGACCCAGGTGCCACCAGGCGAGAGCGTTACTGCAATGGAGCTGGAGTTCAAGGTAGGTGACAAAGCCCCAGCACTGCCCCTTCCCCGACGCCCTGTCTCTGCCCACAGAGCCCCACCGAGCTACTTGTCCAGGGGTTGGGAAAGGAGAGCCGTGGATCATTACAGACAATTACTCTTTTGTGTGTTTCTAAACCAGGTAGGCAGTGATTTAAAATATATTTGAATTGTAAAGCTTGTGTTGGCCATGGTCTCCCCTGGATTGGCAGCTTCTGGGGAGGATATAAAAGGCAGATGGATGCGCAGTTCTCAGCAGCACGTTCTGCTCTAGGTTCAATGTGCGGCAGGAGCTGCATCTGAAATCAGATGCAGATCGTGTTAGCGATAATTGATGTTACTGTGAACAACTTGTCTGGAAAAGGCTCCAATTTAAATATGTGAGACATTTATAGCCTCATTTCTTCAATGCTGAGCTCTGTTATCTTTTAACCAGCTCAACACCAAGCCTCAGTGTCTAGAATTGGTAAAGGTAGTGTTTTAAGGCACACGGTTTTTAAGAAGCCAACCCCACATTTTGCTATCTGTGAATGCCTACTGCAGGTATTTATTGCAACCTTGGAGATGGAAGTGCGCTCTGGTAAGCGCCTGTATTCTCAGATGAGGTGCATTAGTCCAGTGAAGTCATGCAGGGGAATATAGCTCATGCAGAGAGGCAGCAGACCATGCAGGCTGTGAAATGAACTGCAACAATACAGCTTCACCCTGGGGATTCCCTCCAAATGACAAAGGAGCAGGAGAGGCAAAATACTGACTTTCTGCAGAAACTGGGAAAAGCTGAGCAGCTCTGTCCTGTGGTCATCAGAGCTGCTGGTGTCCTGGGGATGGGACAATAGAACATGCTGCATTAGTATCTCATGGTGCCACCTGCCCTGAGAAAACCCCTCAAGGGAGCCACAAAATTAGGCTCAACTCTAGCAACTCTGTTGTAAGAAAGACAAAAATTTGCTGTTTCTCCAAAGGTCTCTCCAGAACAGTAATAAAATTTGCCCTTCTCTGTGCCCTAGCAGTGCCCACTGCATGGAAAGCCCTGGGGAGCAGTTTATGGGAGGACCTTACGTGGCTGCATCTCTCCCCAGAGAGCAACCCTGTCCTTCTGCAGGCAGCCTCTGCCAAGGGCCAGCTGCTACACACAGAGAGCAGTGTGGCTCTGGAGATGCTGGAAAGAGTCTTTTGGGAAGGAAGAAAAAAAAAAAAAAGATGAAAAAAGAAAAAAAAAAGAGGGACTTCTGTTTGAATGTCTCTGCCAGCAGATCTAAGTAACACATTTACCATGACTCCAGTTTGCAGGGCTCAAAGAGAACCATAAAGTGTCTCACAGTAACCCAAAATAGATATTCTTTACCTAAAACTGTCACAATTCTCACATTTTTCTTGGGTTCTTCTGGGGTGAGAAGTAAATAGAAAGACACTGTTGGAAGATGGAAAGCTTTTGTTCCCTGACAGCACCGGGTGTGTGTCCCTGGTTCAGCGAAGTGCACAGCTTCATGTCCTGGCCCTTTGTTAGAGAGCTGCTGTGGGTCTCCACTCCACTATGGGTGGCTTTGGGGCGGCACCAGTGGGTCAGTGCAGGGTCTTCCCCCTGCTGTCACCTAAAGCCATGCACCAAAAGCCAGCAGCGAGGCCAAGCCGTACCTGGGTGTGCAACGTCACGGCACTGAAAACCAGACTGATGTAGTGTGAAACAGAGCAGCTGGACACAGCCTCCTCGTAAGGTGGTGGCAGAGCCCTTTGGTCTAGAAAGGGCTGGTCCCCAGTGGCTGTCCCTCTATCAGAGGAGGGAGTGTGGCTACATGCCCCGAGGGACTCCCTGTCCTGCTGCCAGCATCCCAGTTTTCCCCCAGGCTGCTGCATCTCCAGCAGAGGTCTGATGTGTCTCCTCCTCTTTCAGCTGCTGGCCAACTCTAAAGCACATACCTCACGTTTCATCAGTGCCAACCTCCCCTGCAACAAATTCAAGAACCGCCTGGTGAACATCATGCCATACGAGCTGACAAGAGTCAGTCTGCAGCCCATCCGGGGTGTCGAGGGCTCCGATTACATCAATGCCAGCTTCATAGATGGGTACAGGTAAGAGCCACCTTAGATGCCTGGGCAAGCCTGTCCTGCCTGCTTGGGACCCCGGGCAGAGCTGCCTTCTCCTCTTTCCCAAGGACTGGTCCTGGCTGCCTAGAGGTGGGCTGGGGATCACTTTGTTGCATTTTATCTATTTCTGTCTTCTTAAGATGTTCCAATGTGTATACTTACAATATGTGAAGACTGCTAGTGAGTGAGCGCTGCCAGGCTGGCTGGTATTGCTGTAGACAGATGCCCACATGGCTGGGGTGGGAGGCTCTGCTGGCTCCTGCGGAGGTTTATAGGATCTTCTGGTAGGCATCACTTGGCATGTGTTTTGTATCTGCAGCATCTAACGCAAACCTCCCCCCCCAATAGCTGTAGCAACCAGAGGTAGAAGTGTGCTTGCACCACATGGCTGATCCAGGCAGGAGCCCAAGACTCATTCTCCCATGTCTTGATTTTGGGGGGAGACTGTGGATCTTCAGGCAGGGCTGGTGCTGGACACTGGGGAGCCCATCACTGGCTTCTGCTCCCCAGTATACCTTTTAGAAAGCACAAATTAAGATCTAGTGAGGCAGTAGTGCTTAGGGTTTATGTATCTATCTGCTGGCATCACATTCTCAGGTGCTATGTGCCAGGAGAGCAGAATGCAGGGAAACAGCCCAGTGGCCACTTCGCCTTCCCAGCCAATCCCCAGACAATAAACCAGACCAAATCCCAATGACGCACATACATACGTTCCTGCCATCTCTCTGTGCACCATCACCATAGGGTCACCCAGTGCAGGAGTGGAGGATCAATGATGGATGTGGCACAATCCCCCTCCAGCTTGGCTCTGCCCAAACACTTCTTATGGGCTGGTGACCTCCCAGGAGCAACAGGCGCTGCCAAAGGGAACAGATGTTGGTGCAGCCAGGCCAGCAGCTATGTGCCTCCAGCCCTGCTCCAGCAGCTGAGCCCAGGAAGGGTTCCCAGGGGGAAGGGCTGTGTGGAGGCAAGAGTGGGCAGGGCAGAAGGGGAGCAACCCTGGGAGCATCCAGCACAGCAAAACCACAGCAAGCCAGGCTCCCTCAGTGGGACAGAGTAACAGGGAAGGATGTAGGAGATGGAGAACAGCTGTCACAGAGCAGCCTCTGCTCCCTCCTGCCTGTGTGGCTCCAACTCATCCAGCACCACGTCAAGAATGCAGCCACCTGCCTGTGCGCCCACCCCGGCAGCCTGGTGTCTGACAGGTGGGCTGCAGCCACTGTGTCCTGGCTTCAGAGCTGATGAAGAGCAATGCTGGCTTTGCCCCTTGGTGATGCTACAGAGGGAGGACTGCCAGCACAGCAGGTGGTACCATTTCAAGTGCTACCTACCCTGTCCGTGAAGAGCGCTGTTATCTCTTCCTATCCTTTCCTGTGAACTGAGCCATCTTCCTCGGTATTACCTAAAGAGATCAGTTAGCCCAGGGTCCTGCAGACATCACTGATGCTGCATCTTTATTAGCTCTTTTGTTTCATTCTGCACCCCCACTACCTGCTTTTTATGATGTCTTATAAATCCACCTTGAAGCAGACCCTGTCTTCACCCTGCACATTACAGCTGTCCTGTGGCACGTTCATTAATTTTTAGCATCCGTGGAGAGGTGAAATGCTGGATGGGAGGATGCCGCTTCTCATCCTGCGGGCTCCGGCGCCTCACAGTGGTGAAGCAGGCATGCCTGGCGTGCCGGGCTGGGTGCTCAGCAAGCGAAAGAACTGGCATGCTGGAGCCAGCCCTTCTCAGAGTGTTTTCCAAGGGTGTTTTTTTCAGGCTGGGGCAGGTCAAGCTCTGCTTTCACACAGGACATTTAAGAGATGTTGTGGTTCACACTGGAACTGAGGACAAATTTGAAAGCTTAAAAAAAGTTGGCAAAATGGTATCGGTGTTTTCCACACTGCCCTCGTTATCAGTTGGCATGCACGATGCAGGTGACTTAATTCAGTTGCTCTGTGTCTTCCCATGCAGCAGGAGGGACCGTGGGCGTTGCAGAGAGTAAAAGTGCAGGAACCCGCGGGTGCTGCCAGGATCATCCCCAAGCACAACCTCTCCTTTCAGCCCAGATGGGTGCTGGCAGCCTGCTCACATGGGCCTGGGTGCCGAGAAGGTTCTCAATGCAGCAACGCTAGGGACAAGCAGCAGGAAGAGGCTGGGCTGGGGACAGTCACCCCAGCAAGGACTAGCAGCCTTCCTGGCTCCTGCACCCGGTGGTGCTCACTGCATCTGTGGGGAGCACTTAGAAGACACGAGAGGGGCAGGTTCATCGCTCTCCCGGAGTCCTTGGCTAGTCCTAGACACCCATCTCCTGCAGCTGCATTGTCAGCCCTGCTCCCTGCTGCACAGGGCCCCTGCCAGCAGCTCTTCCAGCCCACCAGCCCCCAGGAGCATCTGCTGCCCGTCCCCCACCTCCCAGCTCTGGTCTGAACACCGTCTTGTTTGTCGCAGGCAGCAGAAGGCCTACATCGCCACACAGGGACCACTGGCTGAGACCACGGAGGATTTCTGGCGGATGCTCTGGGAGCACAACTCCACCATCGTGGTGATGTTGACAAAACTGCGCGAGATGGGCCGGGTACGAATCCTGATGGGGGGAAAAAGGGGCCGTGTGGCTGCTCTCCATGGGTGCAGCCTCCCAGCTCACTGGGGGCAGCCTCCTGTCCCGTGGCTGATCCTGTGGCCCCACAGCCACGTGTGCTCCTGGGGAGCGGGAGGGAAGAGTGGCAGCTTGTTGGTGCTAATGTCTCACCGTGCTCCTCATCCACAGGAGAAGTGCCATCAGTACTGGCCCGCGGAGCGCTCTGCCCGGTACCAGTACTTTGTGGTGGACCCCATGGCAGAGTACAACATGCCACAGTACATCCTCCGGGAGTTCAAGGTGACAGATGCCAGGGTGAGTACAGCTGCTGGCTCCCCAGGTCCCCTGCCTCCTGTGCCTCTGCTTCCCACTTCTGCCCTGCCCCAGCAAGCGTGCAACCACTCCTAGAGGGACCAGAAAGCAAAGCGCTGCCTTGCAGTGCAGGCAGAAGGGGCTGCTGCCACCCACCTGCTGCTCTTCTCCCCACAAGTTCCTTCCTTGCCCACGGTGTCAGTCCCTGGTGAGCAGCTCACTGCTCCCTATCAGCACCAGACCCAGCCTTGCCGGTGCTGCGCACTTGGGCAAGCGTCTAACATGGGCTCCCCTGCACGTGGAGTCTCCATGCGCAGCATCTGACTGGGCACAGGAACCCTGTGTGACAGCAAGTATGGTCCTGGGGTGGAGCTGGGCCCCAAACGGGAAGAGAGCACTGCCCCAACAGACCCTGCAGAGGCCCAAAGCCCTGCTCAGCTCAGCCACCCTGCGGTGAACACAGGAGAGCAGAGGCAGGCCCCAGACGCTCAGTGAAGAATCTGCCTGGGCTCATCCATGGCCCATGCGCCCCCTCGCCTGACCTGGGCAAAGGAGGTCTGAGAGCAGGCCAGCAGTACCCGTGCTGAGGGGAGCCAGAGCAGCCCCTCTTGCTGCCTCCTCACCCACGGTTCACGTCTAACCCCCCTGTTCCTGCAGGACGGCCAGTCACGGACCATCCGCCAGTTCCAGTTCACAGACTGGCCTGAGCAGGGAGTGCCAAAGACGGGAGAGGGCTTCATCGACTTCATTGGGCAGGTGCACAAGACCAAGGAGCAGTTTGGGCAGGATGGGCCCATCACGGTGCACTGCAGGTGAGTGGGGACAGATCAGCGCCCACCTCAGCCTTCATCAGAGAGTCCTAGGAGATGTCCCCTGTCCCGCATACCCGGCATCTGCCAGCTCCCCTGCACTTGCTGCCCCTCCTGCATACCACTGGCAAGAGGCAGGCAGGGGACAAGGAGGTGGCAACATCCATGGGTACTGTTGGCAGCCCTTCTGCCGGACAACTAGATGAACCCCATGCCCTGGTGGCACTGGTTTGTAGCTCCTGGAAGGGTCCTTGGGCAGGGCAGCGTGCCACAGCAGCTTGGCCCAGAAGCAGGGCAGAATCGGTGGGCCCCAGGGGGCTGAGATGGCACCTCTGGCTGGCAATGTCCCTGTGGCCTCTCCTGGCTCCACTGAGCATGTCCCCATGCTCCATGAGCTTCCACCATTCTTAGGAGCTCTGCAGAGCCTCGCTGGGCCTGGCAGGTCTCTAACAGCACCTCTTGCTCCCTCTGCACAGCGCTGGGGTCGGGCGCACAGGCGTGTTCATCACGCTCAGCATCGTGCTGGAGAGGATGCGCTACGAGGGGGTGGTGGACATGTTCCAGACGGTAAAGACTTTGCGGACGCAGCGGCCAGCCATGGTGCAGACAGAGGTGAGTGTCCCCTCCTCCTGGGGGGTGGTGAGAGATCTGTGGGAGAAGGGGGGTAACCCTGCTGCCCGCTGTCCCTGGGTCCCCACTTCTCACACTTCCCCCATTGCTGCCTTGCAGGACCAGTACCAGCTGTGCTACAGAGCAGCACTGGAGTATCTCGGCAGCTTCGACCACTATGCAACGTAACTAGTGCTTTCCTCCAGTCGCGGTGGGGATGTCTAGGAGTGGAGACAGGTCCTTCTGAGCCAGAGCCGCCCATTCCTCAGTCCTGTACAGATGGAGATGCTGCCCAGGCAGCAGACCTCCATGCCAACCAGTTCTGACCACGGCATTTAGGAACTTCGCCCCAGCGCCAAACGAGGGAATCTGACTCCAAAAGCATTTCCAGTCTCTGGCTGAATTTCTGCTCATGTGCATCTCTCGCCCTCTCTCACGCGACTGCATTTCACAGCGAGGCTTTAGGTGGGTGGAATGGGATCTTTTTTTTAAACATGTAAAATAGTTACTAGTGGTTTTTATAATCTCCTCTCTCTTTATTTTTTATTTTTTGCAAGTCTTAATGTTTTGCCCAGGCAGAACTGGACCCGCCAAACCTTTGGGAGTTGGGTTTTTTTTTTTTTGAAGTTTCTTTTTGGTTTTACATTTTTTACTGCCCTGTGTTTATTTCAGCCCAGTCACTGCTGTTTCTGCCCATTTTAGTGCAGCTTCCTTGGTAATTTGCAGCAGCTGGCTTGTGGTTCCTGCCTGGCTCCATTCCCTGTAGGCTGCTTTTTAATCCTCTGTAGAATATGAAATTTCATGGAACTGGACCTAAGCTACCAGATATTTTTTTAGCCTCTTCCTCCCCCCCCCATCATTTCCTGAGTAGGTTTGGGTTTGGGAGGGCATGTGGGGTCGCCAGAGAAACGGTGCCCTTTGTCAGCTGGAAACCGTTCAGTGGTATTACAATGCGTGTTAAACCGATCAAGTGACTGTGTATATTGGCAGATCCCACTATGACGTGAGTTGTCGTCGCCTTGTTTGTGAGAGACCTGAAATCCTGGGCTCAGGCTTTGGAGCCTCTTTTTGTGTGTCTCGCTGGGAAGGGGGCAGGAGAAGCGAGGGTGTCCCACACTTCCCCAGGGAAGGGGTAGGAAGAGTGAGACACGGCCCTTTTTGTTCATCCCGTGGTTCTGTGCGTGCAAGCGCCATTCTGTCACCTGTCACCAGTGAAGTGCATCGGAGCATTTACAAAGGCAAGGAGCACAAGCCCAGCTGTCCCCAGAGCGGAGCCAGGCAGGCTCTCTGGAAAGCAGGGTACTGCAGGGAAGGGGAGGGGAGTACACATGGCTTCAGAGGTTGGGTGTCTCTATAATTTCTGCTATCCTGCAAATGTTAAAAGTCACTAGAATATTGTACTTTCCGCTACTTCAGGACGTTCTAATGAACCAATGTGGCAAGACTACTGGACTTAATTTAATGGTACTATATATTAATACTCCTTATTATATCACGCTTGCACTAAAGACAGGGAGTGAGCAGCCCTCTTTCGAGTGCATTGAGTTATGAATAAAGGTGGTGGAAGGGTTTCTAATTGTATTATCACATGTATTCCGAATGTTAAGAATCCAAGCTACAATGAAATCAGCAATCCAGGGTTGGTAATGTTGGAGGACACATTCATTTTTACCTTGTGGATGCATAGTGCTGTAGGGGTCACTGTTGTATACAGTCTGTTTTCTATTTGTTAATAAAAAAAATCTACAGCATCATTGCATAATTCTTGATGTTAATAAATTTGAATAATCGGGTTTCATACAAGCTGGCTTTGCTGTCTGTTTCTTCAGCAATAAGCAGAGGCCATAGAGTCCCTTGCAGATGGACATGCACCCCAGCCTGTTGCCAGAAAAGTCCTTTCCCATGGGCACATCCCAGCCACGAGTGCCCCACTCTTCCCACAGGGACCCTGTGCTGGCAGGGAGCGCAGAGACCCTCTGTGACAACCCCCTTTGTGCATGTGTGTGCTCACCTCCTGCCCAGCTGCAGCCATACCAGGGTGCACGGAGAGTCCTCAGTCCTTGGCGCCTCCGGGAATGGCTCCTGCCAAGCCTGGTGTTGCAGCCATGGCCCTCTCTGGGCCCCCCCCCCACTTCCCAAAGGATGGATATTCCCAGCAGGAGGAAGCCAGTAGCCACTTTCTGCCCAGGCCATGCTCTGCCCAAGCTGTCTCAGTGATGACTGGGGCCTGAGACCTGCTCTTCCCACCGGCTCCACTGCCAGGTACTCATCCTCGGACGGCCCCCAGATGAAGCAGGATACAGTCCTGGGGTGATGCTGAGCTTTACTGGAAGCATGTTTACCTGCACCCTCCTCCCTGCCAGCATGCTGGCTGCAGGACCAGGCTGGGGTAGCTACAGACTTTGTTGTGGTTTTGCAGGAAAGAGAGGTGTCGGTGGTGGTGTGTTTGGGGGCAATATCAGTCCTGGATGAGGCTGAGACATTGCCAGCCTCCAGGGACACTGCAGTAATAATGCTGTTCGGTGGCACTGAGCGCAGTTGTGTACACAAAGTTACTGCTCAGCAGTAAAACCATCGCCTCGCCCCTAACTGCAGAGCAGCACCTGAGCACGTTCAGGTGTGAAACCCTCGCCAAGACACGCGGCTGTGCCCACTCTGCGTGGGCTGGCCAGCCTCAGCCCTGCCTGCGTGTGAACTGCAAAACCCTGGGTCCGTGCTGGCTCCTGGGGAGAGCAGCACCTGCAAACAGGACAAGTGTACAAGGGAAAGGCCAGTGCAAGGGGCAGAACCACATCGGTCCTGTCCATCCTGTGGTCTGTCCATCCTTCCTGAGGAAGCCAAATCTGCCCTGGCCAGCCTGTGCCTGACGGGTGGGAGCACATGGCAGACAGATGTAAGCTTTTCCCCGATGTGACTATGGGCACCTTCTTACTGGCTCCTTGCTGACTTTGCTGGAGCTCAGCCACGCGCCGTGTTTCTTGCCAGGCCAGACCGGCACCTGAGCAGGTGCCAGATGCAAAATGGTGTTTCCCCCTCGTCCAGCTGGTTCCTACCCCAGTGCTGTGCCCCCGGCATGACCTGAGGCTGGTGGAGCCTTTCCCTGGCTCTGCTGCTGGGCAGCCCCACTTGAGGATGCAGATTTGAGGGCAAAGCAAGCTCCTGCCCTTGTGAGGAACACACGTGTGCAGGTGTGTGTGCACATGCACGTGCCAGCACTGCTGGCATCGGGACACTTTGCTTTGCATCACTGCCAGGGCCCAGGATGGCAGGGCTGCATGGCCAAGCATGCACCTGCTCCTACATGGGTGCATTTGGGGAGGAAGGACACCATCGTAACCACTGCGCTTTAGGAAGCCAGCCAGCTGGGCACCTGCCTGCACTGCAGCAAGAATGCTTTGGCTGTGCTGCTAAACCACAGCTGGCGACAATGCTTTTGCCACATGGATGTGCCACTCAGGAGCACTCACCAGGCACAACCCTCTAGTCTGTGTGTGGCTTCAAGTGCAGTGATATGCTCTCACCAAAACAGCAGCTGCTGGAATGCTTGTGTAAATGCACATGTGCATGTACTTCTTTCTCCTTGTCCTAGAACACTTGGGGCCTCCCTCCCCATTCGATGTCGTGTTCTTAGCCCACCCAAACCCTTTACCACTAATCCAGGGAAAACATGAGGGAACAAACGCTCCTAACTGACCATCTCTGCAGGCTCCACTCCTCTGCCCGCCATGCGTAAGGCACAGAGTGACCTTTTCAGGTGGTCAGTGAGCTGACCTATACACCGAGTAGAGGCAGGAGGAGGGAGAAAGAGAGAAGCAGCAGCTTGGCATGACCCACGCTGGGAATAACATGACCGAGCCTGGGCCTCAGCAGCAAGGGTGTTGCTGGGTAGATGCTGTGTAGGAGCTTACATTGTGGGGGTGAAGCCACATGGCCGAAGCCTCATGCTGGCCTCACAGGGCCCAGAAAGGCTCAGCACACAGAGAGGACCAGGAGGCCCCCGAAGTGTGAGGATGTGCTGCTGCCTTGGCAAGGGGACGGTCCCGAAAGGACAGGGAGGGCAGAGTGCAGCAAAGGCTGCTGCTGCCTGTGGGGGAATCCCCACTCCTCCTCCTCTTCACACAAAGCCAACGCTGCTCACCTAGAGCCCACTTGCCCCAGTGGGGATGGAGTCATATCAAGTCATATCAGTTTAAAAGCACTTATTCCTTTATTCCCCTTTATCTCTGCATATCTCACAAAATA